GCTAGCTTTGTACAGTTAAAGGAGGCCATCTGCAACACTCTTACCTATTTTCTGCGTCGTTAATGTGGTTGCTTAAGACAATTTTTTTGCTGTGCTGTTTTTGGGGCTATTATCTCAGCCATTGGACAATTTCTGTTTTTATTTTGTTTTAGGTGTTTCTGTTTGGACTATAACTCTACTGTTTAATGCTATATATTCTGTTTAGTTCTTGGATTGTTCCCTCTTTACTGATGCCAAAAAAGGGGAATATGTTGTATCTATACAGGTATAGTCAACTGTGGCAAAAGTAGCATCCTCTACGGCAGGAGTCGACTCTAACCATGGACTAGTCAACTGCATGAACTGAGGGGAGTACCATGAACCTGTCAACTGCATACATTGAGGGGGAGTAAAACATAGGGAAGTCAACTATTGTTTATACATATATATTATTTTGTCATCATCAAAAAGGGGGAGATTATTAGATCTAATTTTAATGATGCAAATAATATATCTGTGCAGGAAATCAATTAGAGAAGATCAAGGAATCAAGGAGCTACTACGAGATTGCTGAAGTCAATCTTGATGCTTAAGGAAAGAAATCAATCAGCAAAGAATACGAAATCATGGACAGCTGCGATGGAAAGAATCAAGCAAGCCTAAACTTAAGGCATCAATCAAGGCCATCACATTCAATCCGGAAAATTGAAGCAGTCAAAAAGCATCGAAGATTCTGTAAGAAGATTAGCTGAGCTGCTAATTTCGGAAGGACCAACAATCAAGGAGTAAACCCTCATCATCAAAAACTATAGAAGGAAAGCTGTCAATTTCCTCTCATCAAGGAAGAGCAACGGCAAGCAATCTTATTCTTGGAAAGAATCAATCTCTTTCCAAGGATCAAATCTCTTGGGTTGTCAAGTCTCGTCAGCAAACGGCCTTCACCAAAGTATTTATACTCAGCATCAAGACTTAGACAAAACATACTTTGATCGAACCAAAAATCCTCTCTTTGTTCTACTGCTAACAAACATTGTAGTTCTCTAAGACCTGCTGTGTAACAAGTTAGAGAAAAAAAAGAGAGAACAACACTGGTGAGGCATTGTATCAAAAGAGACGAGTGTTATAGGAACTGAGCTATCACGTCATTTCCATTGTACCCGAAGAAACGCATTTACTAAAGAGAACTCCCTTGCAACCCAAGGGGACTGGACTAGGATTCATATTGAATCTGAACCAGTATAAAATTCCGGTGTCTTTAATTCCTGCACTTACTTTCTGTGTTTTATATTCTGCTATTATAGCTGTTAGGTTATTGCATCTAGTCGACTAATTGAAAAAACAGTCAACTAATAGAGATTAAGATTAAAAATATTCAATTCACCCCCCCCCCCTCTAGTACTTTCAGAAACGGCATTTTATCCCCGAGGATGACATCCGAAGTTCTTACTCTGACGAACCGGCTCATCCAACCTCGATCTTTGGTCTCGTCAATACTGGCAAAGAAGGCTTTCGTTGTTCGACGTTGCAACTTGATAAGCCCTCGAAATATTTGGGGCCGATACAATCGAATCAGGTGGCTGAGGGTGAATTCCAACCCCTCGGCCTTTTCGGAAAAGAAGCGCAACATGATCACGATGCGCCAAAAGGAGGGGTGAATCTGGACAAGGGTGACTTCATACGTTTTGCAAAACTCAATCACCACCAGATCGAAGGGACCCAGTGTGAAGGGGTAAGTGTAACACTTAAAAACCCCTCCACATGGGTAGTAATGCTTTCCCCGGGGGCTGGGATCTGAACCACGACCTCATTTCCCCAGCCGCAGTCCTTCCTCACATCTTCAAGATGCTTCTCTGATATCAAACTAATATATCGAGATGCATGCTCGCATCGGCCTGGGACATCGGGGAGATTTTCAATACTAATGTCCTTTTTAATCACACAAGGGCCGGGGGTGATCTCCTCAAGAGTTGGCGGCACCACCGGTTTGGCCGGCCGGGAAGAAGAAGAAGACAACGCTTTATCCATTTTGGGGACCGTTTTGGACGTTTTAGCCATGATTTTAAGCCAAAGAATACAAGTTGTATCAGAATGTGGTGTTATTCACAAGAACTTGGCGTTTTCCGGCGCTTAAAAAGGCGGTGGAAACAGGTGATTGAGAGAAAGAGATGAGGAAGAGGAAGATGTAAAGAAAGAGCAAAGTTCTCTACTCAAAAGAATAGCCTCATATTTATAGAAGGGCAACGATAGTTCGGCGGCACTAATGGCCGACCAATACTGGCGTGCATTCAATGTTTTGGGGAAGTGGACCGACGGGACGTTTCAGTTACTTTGAACGCCTATGTCACGCGAAGGACGTCATCATTAAAGACTTCGGGAAAGCAAGGATCAAATCGTTTCTTATCATTTCATTCTAAGAAACGCGGGGACTATCTGTATATGGTCAAAATCGTATGCCTCCGATTTGTAGGCTCAAGGGTCCGTCATGGCCCCCAGTTCGGGAGAGGTCGAGATTCGAGACTAGTGGACCAAAATCAAGCTCGAAGATAAAGCACAATGTCCGGGGATAGGAGTACGAGGAATACAAGGCCCGAGTATGTCCGACTCCGAAATATTACCGTTATGGATTTGTACCAAAGCAAGCTAGATTCCAGCCACGTCCCCAAGTCATGGCGCGAATCCCGGAATAAGATTGTATGATTCTGTACTAGGCGGTTAGACAACTGTAACAAGAATATTCCCTACTGTAAATGGAAATATTCCTTCTTTAGGGTTCCTCTATTATATAAAGGGGACCCCAATCATTTGTAATATCATCTGAGCACTGAGAATAGAATATACTCTACCTTTTTCGCTTGCTTTTCATCAGCATTGTCCTTTAGCTCTATTGTTCTTACTTTGCTTTTATACTTGTTCTTATTATACCAAGCCTACCTCGAGGTCACTGTTGTTGAGTAACATTGGTTTGATTCACCTTTCTCTTTCATTTTTACTTCATATTTCTTGATTATTAAGTGGTATTGAATTAAATCACGTACCTTTAAAACCACAAATCAAATTTAATTGTTACTCGTATTTTTTGAGGTAAACATGTGTACATGAGTATACAAAGGATACAACCTGTATCTACTGTATCTATTCGTGCAACGAATACGACTAAGGCGAAATATAGAAATACAGAAAAATAAAATGATCTTGTTGAGCGTCGAACTTAAGATCTATGCCTAACTAAGTGAGCCCTCTAACCAACTGAGTTGCGAGAGCTTGTTGCTCTCTTGTTTCAGTTCAAAACATATCTTTTGTTTGATGGATTTGCTATAAAATTCAAATATAGCTACGAATGATAAATTTTCTCCAAGTATAGCTACGAATAGTAAATATCATGTAAATGTTTGATGTGTCGCGTAATTTTGCCATCCCGAACCGACTGTTATAAAATTTATTGGGCCAATCTAAACTTGTGCTTGGGCTACGACCCAGCTTGAAGTTAATAGAAACACACAGCTGAAAACTATCTCCAACTCCATAATTTCCAGTCACCAGTCCAAGATTAATTAGTGGCTATCTGAGAGTCACAGTATTCCCTTTTCTGCTTGCCCAGTGACTACTGAACAAAGCAGTCTTACATACTACTATGGAGTGTGGACCGCAATTAGCTATTTTTAGTCGGTCAATGGCTATTTGCATCATGGAAAATTTCGCTAATTGACAACTTAAGTGCCACCCACACACACACACTTGAATTTAAATGACTAGACCTGTCACTTGAATCCTCCTCAAAAGTCAGGGTTGGTGGATTGACCAATATATAGACTTGTAATACAATTTAGGAAGAAAATACCACATAATATAAGATCACAATTGCGCAATTTCCATCTTTTCCCCACTAAATGGTCCCGTTTCTTTTACTAATCAAATGTTGGAAGTAACCTTCCCGAAGAGTAGACTATAAGGGGTCGTTTGGTACGCGGGATAAGGTGGGATAAGATGGGATAAAGTATGGCACTAAATTTATGTCATGTTTGGTTGAATGGTATAAATTTATCTCGGGATAAAAATATACCGTCAACCAAACATGGTATAAACTTAGTCCCAGACTTAATCCTGGATATCCCATATTATCCCACCTTGATCAAATTTGCTATTATTTTATCCCACCTCCCAGGTGGGATAAAATATAATCCCAGGATAGTTTAGTCCGCGTACCAAACGACCCATAAGAATATCATTAAACTTCAAATCTGCAAAGGCGATAACGTAGTCGAAACAACACTAAAGTAACACAATTTTCAGAAATGTCGAAATGAGGAAGCCAATTGCAAGATTGCACAATAGCAGATTACATGGAATTTGGTTCTCAAGTCTAAATCATAAGCAGTATATAGGCGACCAAAGGCTTATGCATCAAGACATCAACAATGGAAGCTAGTTTCCTCCTACTTTTTCTATTGTTTTTCTGCTCTACTATACACAAGATTTCTACTACAACAGATATAATCACTACAAATCACTCCATTGTAGATGGTGAAACTGTTGTTTCATCTAGTGGAACCTTTGAAATGGGATTTTTCAGCCCCAGTGGTTCCTCAAAGCGATACATCGGGATATGGTACAAGCAAATTCTTCCTCATATGCAGACAGTTGTATGGGTTGCCAATAGAGAAAAACCACTCACCAATACATCTTCAGTTGTTTTGAAGGTCACCAAGCCGGGAATACTTGCTCTTCTCAATGACAAGAATGAAATTATATGGTCCACTAACACCTCACGATCAGTCCAAAATCCAGTAGCACAGCTTTTAGGTTCCGGTAATCTTGTTGTAAGAGATGCAAATGATGGAAACCCGGATCATTTCCTTTGGCAGAGCTTCAGTTTTCCAACTGATACGCACTTGCCTGATATGAAGCTTGGAAAGAATTTTCTAACTGCGCATGAAGCTTACCTTTCAGCATGGCAGAACGATAACGATCCAACTCCAGGGGAATTCACTCTTCACGTTGATCCTACTGGATATCCACAGGTCCTCCTCAAACGTGGCACGAATGTATCAGCTCGCTCAGGCCCATGGAATGGTTTATATTGGAGTTGGGCACCTGTATACCTACAAAAACTAAGCAACTCTAGTACAATTAAAGTCGTTTTTAATAAGGAGGAGATTTACTATAGTTTTTTCCTCACTAACAACTGGTTAACAAGAATAGTCCTAACTAGCAATGGTGATATACAAAGCTTAACATGGGTGGATCGTACCAAGAGTTGGCATATTTACCTCAAGTTACCTTCGGATACTTGTGATACATATAGCTTATGTGGTGCCTATGGGAGCTGTGACATAGATAATTCCCCTGTTTGTGGATGTTTGGAAAAGTTCGTAGCTAAATATCCACAACAATGGGAAAATGGAGATTGGTCAGAAGGGTGTGTTCGGAGGACACCTCTTGATTGCAACAAGGAACATGTATTTCTAAGATATTCTGGAATCAAGTTGCCGGATACTAAGTACTCTAAGTATGATAAGACCATGACACTCGAAGGTTGTAGGCAAGTATGCTTGAAGAACTGCTCTTGCACAGCTTATTCGAGTTTAGATATAAGCAACAGAGACAAAGGTTGCTTGTTTTGGTTTGGGGAGTTGACTGACATCAGAAAGCTGTCTGGAAGAGGGCAAGACTTTTATATCAGGATGGATTCTTCAGAGCAAGGTAAGAACTTATGTTTATATAATTTTCAATGATGTGCTTTAAACTTAGTTTTTCAACACATGGAAACCATATTATGCAACAATAGTCAATAGTGGCCCATCTCAATTTGTAGTGGCTGATAGGAAAACTTGGTTGTAGTTTCTGTTGCAGGTTCAAATAGAAAGAAAGCAGAGATACTCGCAGTGAGTTTCTCATTGTTGATGGCAATGATTCTACTATGCCTGATTTTGTTGTACAAATGGAAAAAGAAGAAGAAACCGAATCTCAAAGAAGATTTTGAGCTGCCACTGTTCCAATTGTCGACAATAACAAGAGCCACAAATAACTTTTCAGTCAACGACAAGATTGGAGAGGGTGGATTTGGACCAGTTTACAAGGTATACACTGCAAATTTGTTATGTTGCTTACCTCCTATAAAATCCTTGCCGCACCCATGTAGATCCGGCACATTTTTGGTGGTAGGGGTGGGAGTAGTATTGGATTTGGTCAGGCTAACTTGGGTGCTTTGACTACACCTACGGCCAAGTATAGGTTGGTTGGGTGTATATATATATATATATATATATATATATATATATATATATATATATATATATATATATATATATATATATATAGAGTAATTATATGTGTATNCCGTGAAGAGGCTCTCAAGGACTTCCATGCAAGGACTTGACGAATTCAAGAATGAAGTTATCTATATTGCCAAGCTTCAGCATCGGAATCTTGTGAGACTCCTGGGTTGTTGCATACAAGGGGAAGAAAAGATGTTAATCTATGAATACATGCCTAACAAAAGCCTGGATACATACATATTTGGTTTGATTTCTAGCCTATTACACAAGCTAAAATTAGTAATAATGCTTTGTCGTATTAGTCATAACATGTACATTTATGACCAAGGCAAAAGCATGTTAACAGAAATAGCTAATCATAAAGCTTATTTTGTAGATCAAACAAAGAGAAAATTACTTGACTGGCCAAAGCGTTTCGACATCATAAATGGAATTGCTCGTGGCTTATTGTATCTCCATCAAGATTCTCGACTACGAATTATCCATAGAGACCTTAAAGCAAGCAATGTTTTGCTAGATATGGAAATGAATCCAAAGATATCAGACTTTGGCTTGGCTAGAAGTGTTGCAGGGAATGAGATGGGAGCAAACACAAGCCATGTGGTTGGGACACAGTAAGAATCTCTAATTTCATACAAAGTACTCTCATATGACATCACACTTCTTTAGTATACATTGTGTTTTTTTTTTTGGGCACAGTGGCTACATGTCCCCTGAATATGCAGTAGATGGGATCTTCTCGGTAAAATCTGATGTGTTTAGCTTTGGCGTCTTGGTGTTAGAAATTGTGAGTTGCAAGAAAAATAGAGGATTTGTCCATCAAGATCACAACCTTAACCTTCTCGGTCATGTAAGTACTGTATAATCTACATTACACACAGAACTCATTTTTTTTGACTTTACAACACATGGAGTTTGTCATGATCCATACGATCTAAGCTCAAACAGGCATGGAAGCTTTACAAAGAAGATAGGTCCTTGGAACTAATTGATGAGGAGCTAGCTGATTCTTGCCATATATCTCAAGTTTTAAGGTCAATCCAAGTGGGTCTTTTATGTGTGCAACAACGTCCAGAAGATAGGCCAAACATGTCTTCTGTGGTTCTGATGTTGGGTAATGAGAGTCCTCTGCCAGAAGCTAAAGAACCAGGGTATTTCACAGAAAGAAACATATTTGATGAAGCAAAATCAGGATCGCAGACAGCCAGTTCAAAAAATGAAGTCACAATCACATTGTTATATCCTCGATAGAGTGCGAATGAGTTAACTATTCTGACTTGTGTGCACATGAATAATATTTTTGGAAAAAACTTGAAACTTTGGTTCTTGAAATATACAGCAATATCTACTAGCCATAACAAATTATATCGTGTAATTAGAAATAACCAATCTATATTATTATTTGAAATTTCGCACTTTCTTATAACTCCATTTCTTAGTTTAAATATACTTTGAAAATGGTACAAAGTTGTTACCGGATTGTAAGTACCCCTTTGCCTTGATTGGTTTTTGCATTTTTGAGTCATACAACTGAATTTTAATTTTTACTTGAACGGGAGCCTTAGAGCAACGGTAAAGTTGTTTCCGTTTGACCTATAGGTCACGAGTTCGAGCCGTGGAATTAGCCGATGATGTTTGCATTAGGGTAGGCTGCCTACATTATACCCCTTGGGGTGCGACCCTCGCCCGGACCAAACGCGGGATGCTTCATGCACCGGACTGCCCTTTTTTTTAAAAGAAATGTAAATCTTAATAAGGGAAAAGTCCAAATCTGTCCCTGAACTATGTGAAATTGTTTAACTATTAGAAGTTCCCAACATAAAAGCCCTTATCATACATAAATCTCCAACTCAACCTCAGCCATGATAATACTCATATTCAAGCATAGAAATTGTGGAATATTAATAAGTAAACAGAAAACAGCATTACCTGTTCGTAAAAGCAAAAGAGGTCCTGAATATCTACATGGCGGAGTACTCCATCAATTCATCATTGAAAGTAACAAACTTTGGGTTCCCCTGAGGTGAGTAGTACCAGAACTGCAAAACAACCAACTCAAACTTATCAACATTATCAAATTTCCTTATTTAACTACTAAAGCATCAAATTTATAGTGCTCGCCCCTAAAACAGAAAAAGAAAAAAATATCCAGGTGAAAGATCCTCTATTTTTATGTCTTTTTCCTGCTTCTCGGTTGGGGAAGAAATTTTATAGTTTTAATTGATTACTTTTCTGGGTGAGAATATTGGGGGATATAAGATCAGCATCATCAATTCTTTGAATGTAAGCTCCCCCATTCCCTTCCAGAATCTTCTTCCAGCATTGTTGGTCAACGCCTCAAATTCCTGAGTGACAATCAAACTTATTCTCACTCACACTTCTGCAATAAATAGCTATCATAAGCATAAATTAAGGCCCCAAACCGAGAAAACAAATCAAAATGGTCCATTATGTATGTGTCAGGTTACTTTGGCCCTTGTTAGATACCTCTAGAGGCAATTAAAGTCCTTCATGTTTGTAAAAAGTACACTTTTAGTCCAAAATCCTAGAACCAAAGAAAATGCGGAAAAAAAAATCTGTTAAAATTAATAGAATATTGCTGACGTGCTAACACGGGAGAAATAACAAACCCTAGATTTGTGTCAAGTATTTCTTCCACACAAACAAGTTAAAATATTACCATCTTTTCTCATTTGCTGACCTTTGAAGTCTCGTTTGATCAGGAATTTGCAATTTTCATATTCTACCTGCTTACCCACTTGCCATCACATTAAGAAACAATTATTTATTCATTGCGTAAAGGATTTCTTCTAATTACACCAACTCTTTTCACACGTATATTTTTCGAGTTAGTATACCTTTTATTTGGTGAAAATTTAATTTATCGAACAAAATATACATATACTGAGTAAGTTTTATCGGGTAAACGGAAGAATATTTTGTTAAATTATGAAAAAATATTTATCGAGTAAATTTTCTTGAGTAAGTTTTATTAGGTAAATGGGAGATTACCTAATGAAAAAAACATATTTGTTGAGTAATACTATTGACTTGCAAAGGAGTTCAGTATCCTGCACAAAAGTCAAGTCTTTGGGGAATGGCCACAGCCTCCTGATACTAATAAATTAAGAAGACAATGACATATCGAATTAGAATCACAATTCCGAAATTTCCATCTTGTTTCACTAATCAAATGTTAGAAACAGCACAATCAGCAATAGTTTAGTGCCGTTGTCCAGAGGCTGCTTTTAAAAAAAATGACAACCACCCAGTAAAATCCCACTAGTGGGATCTGGAGAAGGTAGTGTGTATGCAGACCTTACCCCTACCCGAGGGAATAGAGAGGCTGTAAATATTCAAACACATGCTAGCAAATTTCAACACGCACATAACGTGGAACTTCGCTCTCAAGTCTAAATCATACTAGTATATAGGCGACCAAATACTTAGGCATCATCAAGTCATCAATAATGGAAGCTAGTTTCTTCCTAGTTTTTGTGTTGTCTTTCTACTCTACTATACACAAGATTTCAAGTACAACAGATATAATAACTACAGACCAATTCATCATAGATGGTCAAACTGTTATTTCAACTGGTGAAACCTTTGAGATGGGATTTTTCAGCCCCAATGGTTCCTCAAAGCGATATATCGGTATATGGTACAAGCAAATTCTCCCTGTGCAGACAGTTGTATGGGTTGCCAATAGAGAAAAACCTCTCACCAATACATCTTCAGTTGTTTTCAAGGTCACTAAGCCAGGAATACTAGCTCTTCTCAATGGTAAGAATGAAATTATATGGTCCACTAACACCTCAAGATCAGTCCAAAATCCAGTTGCTGTGCTTTTAGATTCTGGTAATCTTGTTGTAAAAGATGCAAATGATGGCAACCCAGAAAATTTTCTCTGGCAGAGCTTCAATTTTCCAACTGATACGCACTTGCCTGGTATGAAGCTCGGCAAGAATCTTAAAACTGGCCATGAGGCTTACCTTTCAGCATGGAAGACCGATAATGATCCAACACCAGGAGAATTCACTCGTCACATTGATCCTACTGGATATCCGCAGGCCCTAACCAAACGTGGCACAAGTGTATCAGTTCGTGCAGGACCATGGAATGGTTTAAGATTTAGTGGGATACCCAAACAACTACTAACACAAAGCAGCATTTTTACATTTCAATTTATTTTCAATATAGAGGAGGTCTACTATATTTTTTCAATCATTAACAGCTCAGTTTTATCAAGACTAGTCCTCACTAGCAATGGTTATGTCCAACGCTTGACGTGGGTGGCTCGGACCAAGAGTTGGCATATTTACTACAATTTACCTTCCGATAACTGTGATACATATAGCTTATGTGGTGCCTATGGGAGCTGTGACATAGATAATTCCCCTATTTGTGGATGTTTGGAGAAGTTTGTAGCTAAATATCCACAACAATGGGAAAAGGGAGATTGGTCAGAAGGGTGTGTTCGGAGGACACCTCTTGATTGCAACAAGGAACATGTATTTCTTAAGTATTCTGGAATCAAGTTGCCGGATACTAAGTACTCTCAGTATGATAAGACCATGACACTCGAAGGGTGTAGGCAAGTATGCTCCAGGAACTGCTCTTGCACAGCTTATTCAAGTCTAGATATAAGCAATGGGGACAAAGGTTGCTTGTTTTGGTTCGGGGAGTTGATTGACATCAGAAAGCTGTCTGAAAGAGGGCAAGACATTTACATCAGAATGGATTCTTCAGAGCAAGGTAAGACTTATTTTAAGAAATTTCCAATGATGTGTTTTTAAACTTAGTTTTTCAACACATGGAGACCATATTATGCAACAATAGTGGCCTATCTCGATCTGTAGTAGCTGATAGAAAATTTTGGTTGTAGTATCTGAGGCAGGTTCAAATAGAAAGAAGGCAAAGATACTCACAGGGAGTATCTCATTGTTGATGGCAATGATTTTGCTAGGCCTGATTCTGTTAAACAAACGGAAAAAGAAGAAGAAACTGAAACTTAAAGAAGATTTTGAGCTGCCACAGTTCCAATTGTCGACAATAACAAGAGCTACAAATAACTTTTCGCTCAACAACAAGATTGGAGAGGGTGGATTTGGACTTGTTTACAAGGTAAACAGTAAAAACTTGTTGGAAGAGTAACTAGTTTATGATCAAGATTAGTGTGTTAGAGATTATTTTCATTCTGCAATTGATTCTCATCTTTGCAAAATCTATGTTCTCCTGATATACTTTTGCCATTTCTAGGGTGTGTTGGAAGAGGGACAAGAAATTGCTGTGAAGAGACTCTCGAGGACTTCCATGCAAGGACTTGATGAATTCAAGAACGAAGTTATTTATATTTCCAAGCTTCAGCATCGAAATCTTGTGAGACTTCTAGGTTGCTGCATTCAAGGGGAAGAAAAGATGTTGATCTATGAATACATGTCTAACAAGAGCCTGAATTCATACATATTTGGTTTGGATTTCTAACCTACTACACAAGCTAAAATGAGTAATACTTTGATCTATTAGTCATAACATGTACGTTCAGACCAAGGCAAAGCATGATTACAAAAACTGCTAACAAGAAAGCTTATTTTGTAGATCAAACAAAGAAAAACTTACTTGATTGGCCAAAGCGTTTCGACATCATAAACGGAATTGCTCGTGGCTTATTGTATCTCCATCAAGATTCTCGACTACGGATTATCCATAGAGACCTTAAAGCAAGCAATGTTTTGCTAGATATAGAAATGAATCCAAAGATATCAGACTTTGGCATCGCCAGAAGTGTTGCAGGAAATGAGATGGGTGCAAAAACACGCCATGTGGTTGGGACACAGTAAGAATCTCTAATACCATACAACATACTCTCATATGACATCTCACTTCTTTAGTTCTCATGGTGTTTTTTTTTCTTTTTCGGCACAGTGGCTACATGTCCCCTGAATATGCAGTAGATGGGATCTTCTCGGTAAAATCAGATGTATTTAGCTTTGGCGTCTTGGTGTTAGAGATTGTGAGCTGCAAGAGAAATAGAGGATTTGTCCACCAAGATCACAACCTTAACCTTCTCGGTCATGTAAGCACTGTATAATCTACATTACACACAGAACTCATTTTTTTAACTTTACAACACATGGAGTTTGTCATGATCCATATGATCTAAACTCAAACAGGCATGGAAGCTTTACAAAGAAGATAGGTCCTTGGAACTAATTGATGAGCAGCTAGCAGATTCTTGCCATGTATCTCAAGTTTTAAGGTCAATCCAAGTGGGTTTATTATGCGTGCAACAACGTCCAGATGATAGACCAAGCATGTCTTCTGTCGTTCTGATGTTGGCTAATGAGAGTCTACTGCCAAAAGCTAAAGAACCAGGATTTTTCACAGAAAGAAACGTACTTAATAAAGCAAAATCAGGATCGCAGACAGCCAGTACAAACAATGAAGTCACAATCACATTGTTAGATCCTCGGTAGAGTGTGACAAGTTAACTATTTTGACTTGCTTGCACATGAATAGGAAAAATATATTAGAACTTTGATTCTTGAGAAATACAGTAGTATTTGAAATAAAACATCTAGTTGAATTCTCTACTTGAAGATGTTAGCTACTTATGGATGAAATGTTTTCTCTATTTCCATTGTTCTTTGAATACATACTTTAGATAAGTTTCTTATGTCACAAAAATTCTAAAGTTGTAAATTTGTTTCCTCAACTATTAGCTATAACAATTTTATCGTGCAATTGGAAATCACAAAAATCAATATTAGTAATGAAAATTTTGCAACTCCAGTTTTTAGTTAAAGTATCTAGAAAATGGTACAGAGTTGTCATCACAAAAACCCGTTACCTTAACTTGTTCTCTTTTTGCATTTGTGAGACATACAGGAATGCATCTTACTAAGAAAATGTAAACTCCGATAATAATTTCAGAGCTTTTGAGTTTGTAATTTTTCTGCTCAGAGAATAGCGCCCTATTTGCTTCAAGAGCTTTAATAATTAAATATTTCAACTAATTTCTTCTTAAATATTTTGAAAATGGAAAGATTTGCAATTAAGACAGTCACAATTGATTTAAATTTTAGGCAAGTTCTTATGTTATATCTTATATTTATTAGCATTGCTAATTTATTTTCTTATAACTAATAATAGGCTTATGTTAAATTTATTGAGTTAATGAGGATAATAACGTAATATTTTTTTTATAATCGGAAAATCCCCAACGGCCAGCACAGCAAAACTAGGTGGCAATAGGCTCATCCCTCTATCTTTCTCCACTTAAATACCATATTTTTGGATGGTTGTTACCTATTGTATTGTATCGTATTGTTACTTTAAATACAATATTTGTTTTGGTTGTTCCTTATTGTATTGTATCGTTGTCGTAACGTAACGGCGAAAAGTGTCACTTTATGTAACGACCAATTTGGTGTGGTCGCGTCGTTACCTTGTCTTTTTCTCTTATCTTGCCCTTTATTATTATTAAATAATTCTTTATCCTATCTTTTTATATAATAATTCTATTCCGTACCATAATATTTCTTTGTAATACTGCAGTTTATTCTTCATATTGCTGGTATGTGGCATCATGAAACAACAACAAACGATACCATTTATCCAAACATTGTATTCATCAAACGGTACAGTACAATATAATACAATACAATACGATACATTATGAAACGATATGTAAGAACCATCTGAACAAGCTGTTAAGGGTCAGAGCACTAATCAGAGCCCTAAACAGTTCCCTATTTTACGGAAGAACAAAAATGAAAAAATCAGAAAGTAGTTTCAAAAGAATGTGATCGGATTCTTTCTTCTTAAATAAGTGGTAGTAATTTTTAAAGTGAATGTTTGAGTTAACTAAACTCACAGCTCCGTTGCAGTATCACTGCCACCAATTTGCCCCAAATATATAAAATAATTAAAATAGCAGCAAAGAAAGAAGTATACCAAAATATGTAGCCCATAGAGTGAAAATGGAGAGGCGACTGTCGGGTCACGGAACTGTAGAATTCCGAAAGAGGGAAAATAAAGGAAAATGGGAAAGCTAAAAAGGAAATTAGTCAGCGTAATGTTCAAAATGGAGTAACTTTCTTTTTCCCCACCAAAAATGTAGTTACTCTGTTAAACTTCGTCTAATCGGGAAAATTGTGCTTTTTTTTTTAATCGAGTCCAAAGAGAGGTCCGACCATAGTGTAAAAAACAGCTGCCTGGTCTATTATACGCATATCCTACATTTCTATAAAAGAAATTGTTGGGCGCCCCATTTTAACCTGTAGCCGCTTTATCTTTCTGTTTGCACCCGTACCCGTTTTTTTGTTAAAAGCCATTTGAAAAGACTATTTTGCCCTTCTTTATTAGAAGACTACTTTCTCTTTAAGTATACGCTAGTCCTCTACTGTCTCTGTCTCTCTCTCCCGTTATTCGCATTTTTTTGATTTGCTCTTCTCTGAAATCAAACGGTTTTCGTCGTTGTTTCGAATTTTCAACTGCTAGTCGTCGTTGTTCCCACATTACGATTTAATCAGAGGTACATTGCATTAACTTTCTGGGTTTTATTTTACGATTTAATTTCTGGTTTTGGATTTTGATAGTCATGTATTTATGATAGGGTTTAGTTTGATAAGTTCATTAGTTTTACTTTTACGTTTGTATTTTTAGGTTTTTTGAACGAGTGTTTATGTTGTTACTGAAAATTCTATAAACAGATGATAGGGTTTATGTTGCGATTAGACGTTCAAATTTTTAAAAAATTTCAGAGTTAAACAGATGATAATGATACCTTAGATAGGAGCTGAAGTTTTTTTTTTCATGTTTTGGCATTATTTTTGGATTTGAATTTGTTTTTGTTTTTTTTTTTTTTTTGCTGAATGTTTGTGCTTGTATGGAGAACCAGAATTAAGTTTTTGTGTTTGTAACGGGTGAATTCCATCTTTAGGAGCTGAAATTTTTGTGTTTGTAACTGGTGAAGTCCAGCTTTAGGAGATGAAGTTTTTGTATTTGTTACTGGTGAAGAGCTGAAGTTTTTGTTTTATACCTGTCGAACTTCAGCTCTAGAGCTGAAGTTTTTTTGTAAATTTCGAACTTCAGCTCTGGAGCTGAAGTTTTTGTTTTATACCTGTCGAACTTCAGCTCTAGAGCTGGAGTTTTTGTTTTATACTTGTCAAACTTAAGCCTTCTTAGGTGTTGAAGTTTTAAATGATCTTTTTTATAATGTCCTGATGTTATTATTTGTATCTTTTACTTTTTTTGGACAAATGGCTCCTAAAGCACCTAAAGATCCTAAAGCACCTAAAGATCCTAAAGTAGCTAAAGAAGGCAAAGCACCTAAAAAACCTAGACTACCTGTAGTAGCCCAAGGTCCTTATGTCCCTGAGCCTCCACCTACAAGACCAGGACAAAAATATTTTGAGTTTACAGAATGGTTTAACTCTAAGGGTTACTGGAAGGGGAACCATGATTTGAAGAGTTTAATTGCAACTTTCTTGACTCCTGCACAACAGGATAAGCTTAGTAATGGTCCATTTAAACACATTATTGCTATGGAGAATTTCAAATGCAGCATGAAGTTGGTTCATTGTCTGTGTCTTTCTCGAATATTCACGAATGATCGAGACTCCATTAGTTTCAAGATTTTTGGGCATGATGTTTCCTTCACCCTTGAAGACTTTCACATTATGTGTGCTTTACGGATCACAGCACATAATATTGAGAAACCATTTAATCGAGAGTGCACTATTCTGAAGCGCTATTTTGGTAAGTCCAAGGGTGTGTATCTGAAGGATATTCGAAGTTTTATGACTCGCAATGTAATTCCAACGAATGCTGTGAATCATGCACACGTATGCGGGAGTGATGATGATGCAGTTAGGCTTATGGAAATTCTTATTGTAGAGTCTATTCTGTTTGGAAAAATACCGATTCATGTGTGAATGAGGAGTATGTATCTATCGTTGAAGACGAGAAGGTTTCTGCTGAATATCTTTGGGGTAATGTGGCTTATGAGAAGCTCATTTATTCACTGAAACATGCATTGGACAAGCAGAACAAATATCATACAACTGAGTATAAACTTACTGGATTTCCATATCCGTTATGTGTTTGGTTCTATGAGCGCTTCCCAGATGTTCGGAAGAAGTATGTAGCAGAGGATGAGTACCTTGATATGCCTCAGGTCCCCAGGATGTTACGTTATGTATGCGTGGGAGAGCCTAAATTTCCCGAACTTTATTATATGTTCAAAACTCATGAAGTAAGTTACTTTTTTTTTTTTTGTCTTTGTGTTAATATGCTGATGTATTAGTTTTCTTCTTCTCATAATATACTTTTTTGTATTAAACAGAGATATCGCGACTTTAGGGTATTGGATATAATTCCTACAGAAGAGGAATTGAATTCAATGCCTTTAATTGGGAAATTACCATGCAACCGGATTCGTTCAAATGTAGTTAATGCAGTTCCTTCAACTGGTAAATCACCACTTACTTTGAGTCGATCAAAAGAATTGAATCGAACTCTTGTCATTGGTAAAGCACCACCTACAAAGAGTCGAGCAAAAGAAGCGAATCAAACTCATGACATTGGTGATTCACCACGTAGTCGGAATCAACCAAAAGAACCGAATCAAACTCCTTTTATTGGCGAAGCATCTCGTACCAAGAGTCGTTCTACCTCGTCTACATCTGACTTTGATGAAGATGAATTACTTGATAAAATATGCTCTCTAAGTTTTGATCTGAAGTTTTTTGGGTTGAAGTTTTTTGGGTTTGTTTTTGTAAAAGTACAACATATTTTTTGAGCTGAAGTTTTCTTCTATATCTGAATTTTTGTTGTGTATCTATTGTAGAGGTTAACGACGGAGGTTCAAAGGCAAAATGAAAAAGAAAGAAGCACAATTGTGAACGAAGTTTTTGATAAGTTTAAAAAGGAGGAGCGAACTGCTATTGTGGATGCGGTTTTTGTAAAAGTGAAGGTAAGCTAATTTATAGAGAAGTCTTTTTATTTGTGCTGATTTTATTTCAGATTAATCATTGTTAGTAATTTTTTTCTAGGAATATTTCGATGAGAAGTTTGAACAGTTGTTTACGATTGTCAACAAATCAAATGGAATGGATCGAGAATATGACAGGATGAATGACTGTTGCGAAGATCCATCGGCTTTTGAAGGCGATCAAAATGTTCAAGAACAAGTTGAAGAGCAACGTTACAGTGCTGATAGATTGAGCAGATATGTAAATGATGAAGCACATTTATCAACTGAGAATATTGGAAGCGAGGAAGGTGCACATAAACAAGTTGTTGAGACTGAATAACATACTGCTCATGATGCATTGCTTAAAGTCGCAGATGATAATGCTACACATAATGAAGCGGCTGTTGAAGGTGTTGAACTTGTTCAACAACAAGGTGGAGAGGAACAATTGAATGTTTGTAGACAGAGTGAAGGTGGAGAGAAAGGTACAGATCATCAAGTTGTTGGCACTGAAAAACATGCACCGAGTTGTGCTTCGGAAAGTGATCAAGCACTTGTTGGTACGTTAAATCTGAAAGACGATCGGTATGCAGGAGTAATAGCGATTTGCAATGA